CGAGGGGCAGATTCAGGCCTAGGGAAGGAGGCACCCGGCAGATGGACCCAGGATTCCCTGGGAAACCCAACCCCTTATTGTTGGGAAGAGTTTGGGTTTCCTCCCTAGCTGAAAAGGAGCCACGAGCAGCCCTGTTTCAACCACTGTAGTATCCAGCAGCTGCCACAGACAGGAACTTCAAAATCACCCATGATTCCGTCTCCATTTATGGGTCTTGTTCCACAAGTGAGGCAGTCGGAAAAGGGAATCCCCTTTGCATCACAAAAATGGCCAATATCACTGGATTTCCTAGCGCGGTTGGGCTGTGCTTCCCCGAACGGCGGCCCCGGGGTGGAGCCCTCCCGGGGCCCCCGCCGCACTGCACCGTGGGAGGGCGGAGTGGGGCGCCCGCCTGGAGAGGGGCTCCCACCCCCTGAGGAAAAGCGGGGGAGGGAGGGCGAGAGTTTGAGGAGGGCCTGCCTCTCCCCCATGGCCGTGCTGCTCCTCAGCCCTCAGCCACCCCAGCCTCTCACTGTCCTTCTCCCTCAGTCTCAGAAGTGCTGCCAAAAACCCACACTTCCCTCCGTGCGCCCCGAGCCCGCCTCCATTACCAACCCAAACAAGCAGAGCTGTCCGTTTGCTGCAGCTAGTGGATAATATATAAGCCATTTTAAACCTCATGCCTATGAATCGAGCAACCAGGGTAATAAAACACCAGGTTATTTTGTGTTTTATTAACTGCCTCTTCCCTTCGGTTTGCATAATAGTGAGTTAGATTTACATGCCGTTAAGATGGCTGTGCATTATTTTTAATAGAAGGTACGACAGGCTTCTCTCTCGCAGCCCAATGTGTGATGAAGTAACCTCATATGATGCAGATGGAGGTTTCATTCACACTCGCTGGGCCGGGCCAATGTCTTTTTTTCCAGATGGATACTCCATTGTAAAATGATTTCCCGCCGTAAGCTCGCCTCTCTGTCCCTCTCTTCTGTGTCATCTTCCTACAAACTGGATAAACTGCCTATTAAATTTAATTACAGCCCGAATGGCTGCACATCTTGATCTTCTGTTCCCCAGAGTGTACTGTATTCCACCAAGGTCCTTGAGGAAGGAATACAATCAATCTGGAGGAGGCATGCCCACCTTCTGCAGAAGGTGCTGCGGGAGGCGCCGATGGCACCCACCTTTTGAAGGCCTTCTGTGGCATCCCTTCTGCAAACTCCTTTCCGGCTTTCCTCCCCAGCATTCAAAATGAAAGCTAGTTTTATAGACTCGCCGGGCTGATTTTCACTGAGGTGAGGAACTAAAGCTATGCGTCTGGGATACACAGTTCCCTTTGCTGAGCTGTTTACATTTGTCAGAGGCCTAAACACCAGGCCCCAGGAACCTCGCCTTTCACTCACTGGGTGGTTGGGCTCTGCCCGCCTCCAGAGGCAGCAGAGACCCTCCTGAGCAGGCCTAGACCACAGCAGGGAGAGCCTCATCCTAAGAATAGTCGTCGTCCTGAGACATCTGGAATCAAGCAAGGACTTGGGGGAACTTCATTCCTCATCAATTCATTGAACAAATACTTATTGAGCCCCTGCATGTAGGTGGACGGAACAGCCCGTGCAAAGACCCGGAGGCAGGTGCATGCCCACTTGTTCACAGATGGCAAGAGACCCGTGAGGCTGGGCTGGAGTGAGCTGGGGGCGAGTGGGAAGACAGGGAGCCAGAGAGTAGCGGCCGGATCTGGGAGGGCCTCGCAGGCCTTTGGTCTGAGATGAGAAATCACTGGCGATGTCGAGCAGTACGGTGATTTGCTCTGACTTTTGTTTTAAAGGGATCCCTATATTCCTTTGATAAGAATAGACTGGAAGGCGGCCAGAGTGGAATGAGGGAAGCCAGTGAGGAGGCTGTTGCAGTAATCCAGGCAGGTGGTGATGGTGGCTCAGACCAGGAGGGTGTGGTGGCGGCGGGACCTCCTCTCTAACTCCTAACAGTTTTTTGGAGGGAGGATGTGACATTGTCAGACCTAAACTCTCTCAGCTATAACTGTTCATCAGTCCGAATTCTTCCTGCTATGAGCGAGAGGAACCCAAACTCAAATAACTTAGACTTTTTCCAAAAAGTCATGGTGTGGATCAGGCATGGCTGGATCCAGCATTTCAGTATCATCAGGACAGAACCACTCTCCCTCTCTCTTTCCATGACTCACCTCAGCTTTCCTCTGAGTTGGCTTCATTTTTAAGGCCTTCTCCACCTGGTAGCCCCGGAAAACTTCTGGCAGCCCACACTGATGGCTTTGCTTCTCCAGTTGTTCCATCCAAAGTCTCAGACATGAGCTTCACGGGCCTGCTGTCAGGCACCTGCTCTTTTCTGAACCGATCCCTGTGGCCAGGAGGAGGGCCTGTTGTGATTAAGCAGACCAGAGTCAAGCGTCCTCCCTGCATTCAAGGGAGTTAGGCAGCCCCACCCAAACCCCAAGGGCTCAGAGGGAGGGAGGGTGCAGTCCTCCAAAGGATTCCAGAGGCAGGAGAGAAGGATGGCAAAAAGGCAAGAATACAAGATAGTCATTCAACTGCATTCACACCAGAGATTCTGCTCTGGAGATTAGAGAAAGAGAAAAAAGAAAACAAAAACCCCCCAAAAAACCACTTTCTTGGGTATGTTGTAGTCTAGTCCTCGCCAAAAGCTGAGACCTTCAGTAATTTCTGGCAAGTTCTTAGTGGTGTCCTATTTCCTGTGTGTACTGTGAGCATCCTCCTTACTGATTAAATGAGGAAAGCTAGTTTGAGGCTTGTAATGGGCCATGGAGTGGGGACCCGAATGGGGACTTTGCTGGCCATGCTCCCTCTGCTCATGGGGACAGAGGAGAAGATGACCACTGCTGGTGTCGGAACCCTGTGGCGGTGCCGTGGGCAAGGACGGGTGCTGAGGAAAGAGATCCAACACTGACTAAACCCCTAGAACACACCAGGCACCATTTGTACCCTGGGATCCCACTTCATCTCCCCCGCAGCCTTTGAGGGCAGGTGGCACATATCCCTCTTTACAAATGGGGAGACTGAGGCAGTGCTTACTGTAGGGCACCCCTGTCAGCTGGATCAGGTCGACCTGGGACCCACTTGCAGCCGCTCGATGGCAAGTTAGCTCGCGTCGCTGAGATGGGCTTTCCGCGTCTTAGGCTGCAGCTAAGAAGAGCTAGCCCGGTCTTGGCTGGGTGGGGCTGGGTGAGGTCCTGAGCCCGGCCGGATAGGGCCTGCCGTGGCAAGTCCCAGACAGCAGCAGGCGCTTTCCCTGCCAGGCTGGAGGCGTGTCTGGTGTGCTCGGCTGTCACACCCCAGCCCCTGGCTGTGTGCCCGCGGGTCAAGAAACCTTCATGGAACAGAGGGAGGAGAGAGGGGACGAATGAGTGAGTGAATGAAAGAATGCAAATGCATGAGGGGATCCGGCCAGTAGGTGGCAGCAGGTGGACTGAAATCTGCTAATGTCACAGGGGTGCCGAGGAAGGGTTCCCCCTGATTGATTCTCTGGCTCCCAGAAGCTAAGGGCTCCTGCGGCAACCTGGGCTTCCGGGTCCAGGACAAAAGCCGCGGACCGGCGAGAGGGCCGGGCCCTCCCTGGAGGAGCGGCTGTGTTAGACCCGCAGCAGGCTGCGCCGTCCCGCTGCGTCATCCCGCCGCCCGTGGCCCGGGGCCGCCCGGCGTTGGGACCAGGGGCACCCAAGAAACATGCAGGTGGCCATCCCAACTCTGGGGTCGCCTAGAGACTCCGCACTCCGTGCTGTCATTGTAGCCTTTTGTTTTCATTCACACTGTCCCTTTTTTACCCTTTATCTTTGCTATGAACAATTGTGAACGTAATGTGGAAGCGGAGAGAATAGACTAGCGCACACCAGGATCGCTCCCCAGCCGGTCCTGTTTCTTCCTCCCGCCGCTATCACACTCTCTCCCCGTCATATATTCTTTGGAAGTAAATTACAAATGTGTTATTTGGCCTGTAAATATGTTGATGTTCTCAATGAATGATAGGAACTTCCGCCAACACTGAGAACAGCAATGTTTTCATTACAGAAAATTCACATCACAAACACCTTAATATCTCACATTCCCACTTGTCTCACATGTGTCAGTTTCTTTAGTTTATTTGAATCAGAATTCAGATAAGGTCTACACCTTGTAACTGTAAGTCTCCTATTTTTTTTTTTTTTTAGTCCCCTCCTGTGCCTCTGTCCCTACTGATCTGCTCTCTCTCCCTATAGTTTTGCTATTTTCAGAATGTCCTATAAATTGGGTCGTTCTGTGTGCAGGCTTTCATGTCTGCCACCTTTCACTTGGCATGATGCTTCTGAGGCTCATCCATGTTGCGGGCTGTGTCTGTGATCCCTTTGCTGTTACTCTTGGCCAGCATTTCGTTGCACAGGTGCCACGGATTTATCCATTTACAGGTTAATAAGCATTTAGGTTGAGTTGCTTTTAGTCTATAGGTTTCTCTTTCCATTTCTTGTTATGCCCTTGCAATGTATTTGTTGAAGAGACCCAATTCATTGGTTTGATGGAGGCTCTAGCCTTCTGGATGGTGACAGTTGCATCCCCCGTGGTGTAGCTTACCATGTTCCTCTGTCTCTTGGATTTCCTGCAGTTCGATCTAGAAGCCCACTCTCATTCTGCTTTGACCATTTCATAGGTGCGGGGGTGTGATTCCATAACATCGCCTCTTCTTAAGATTTTAGCAACCACTGATGGTCAGTGCCTAGAGCCAGTAATTCATCAGGGCTCTAATATGGTGACTCCTTATGCCATCATTTCTTCACGTATTAGCTGGAGTAATCACATAAAGAGAAACCCCCTTTATCTGCTACTTGACAATCCAATGGTTCAGGGATATGATATTGAGCATTTTTAAAAGAATCCAAGCTAAACACCCAGCCACCCCAGTAGGAAGCTCCCTGGTCATTTTCGTAGAAAATGCACCGAGTTCCTCATCTTCTGTCGAGCTTTTCAGAAACTACCCCTGACAGTGTTTTCTCTCCCTCTTAGAATTCCAGTGCTGACCACCGAGTCCGACTGGACCTGGGCCTCTGGGACAAATTCAGTGAACTGGCCACCAAGTGCATTATTAAGATTGTGGAGTTTGCTAAACGTCTGCCAGGCTTCACCGGCTTGACCATTGCAGACCAAATCACCCTGCTGAAGGCTGCCTGCCTGGACATTCTGGTATGTGCCCTTCTGAACTCTTAGTTGGGGATTGGGTTGGGGGGGGGGCGGATGGAGATGCTTTGAAGACCTCCAGAGGCTTTGGTCTCCCCAGCCTCTCCTCCTGCCACTTCCATTGCACACTGAACCCCATCCTCCCTGCCTGAATCTCGGTTCCACCGCCAGAGGCTCAGAGACCCCCTGGGTTGGGCAGAACCTCCTCTCTTCTTGACGTGGTGTGGGAACCCCCACTGCATGATCTTGGGGAAGGACCTAGCCTGTCTCAGTCACAGGCTTGCTTGCTCCCCAAAAACCCCTTCTGTGGGCCAGTCCTGTAAATCTTTGAAAGGCCGTCAGGCTTCTCCAGGCTAAACCCACTGGAGGTGGCTCATGGTGCCCTGGTTCTGTCCTCTGACCTCACACCAGCTCTATCAGTGGCCTCAGGAAAATCACTTCCTTTCATAGACTTCAGTGTCTCCATCTGTGCAAACGTAATGGATCCCTGCTGCCTCTTTCCCCTCTTCTGTTCTCACGCTGTGGCTTCTAGGGCCCAACAGAGGGTAAGGACGCTGTCCTGGATGCCTTCCCTCCCTCTCCCTGGTGGGGACCTCAGGGATGGTGTGATTAATTCTGTCTGGGTTGGTTTCCTTGGGTGGGGAAGCAGCTCCCATTAGAGGTGACAGGGATGTACCCTGCCTCGGGGTGGGGGGTTGGTGTATGCTGATGGGCCTCTGGAGGAAGTGGGAGGGGAAGCTGGCCCCCAGCAGTGCATCAGAAAATAAGGTAAAATTGGCTTTTGTGGTGCTTTAAAAGTGTAGATTTTTCTTTTTATTACATCTTTCATAGCCTTGTGTATGAACAATTCTACAAAGCAAATATAGTTACCCACTGTAATTAAACACACAGTCCTGCTCAGGAGGAGAGGACCCCATATGAGGCAGTTGTGCAGGGAGCTTGAATGTTTACGTGTCTTTCTGCTCACTGGTTGGATCTTAGGAGGAGTGGCAATGAGTTACTCAGTAACCTACAAGTGCCAGGGATCCTGAGAATATAAATGGTATTTTTTCATCTCATAAAATCAGAGGGTCTGGGATGAACCCAGGGACATTGAGAAAAATGAAACCTCAAAGCAGCATTCACCTGTCACCTACCCACACCCTATAGCATCTACAAACATCAGCTCATTTGAGCCTCACACAGCTCAGTGAGCTGGCTGGGGATGGAGATTCAGCCCATTTTACAGATGAGGAGCTGGAGACTGGTGAGTCACCTGGGTCAGGTGAATGCTGGAACCAAACCCCAAGACCCACATCTTTCTATTCCAGAAGTCATGAGAGGATTAGAAGCATAAACAGGGGATGGTGTTAGGTGGGCCCTGGGCAGAGAACCAGCCAGGCCATCAGATATTAATAGAGGCCCCCTGAGCAAATCAATAACAATGTTAATAATGAGCTACTGGAATAATTCACAACAAAGCCTGGGCTTCCTTATCCTTTCTCACAAGTGCTTAGCACTCAGGTGAATTTCACCTCAGCCTCAAGACACCCCCAAGATATGAGTAGAGACTGGAGTTATCAGCACATGGTGAATGGTGCCCCGGAGGCCTAGAGTGGCTGAGGGAGCTGTGAGGTGGCCCCAGGAGGTTGGTGTCTGCACCAGGCCGTGTGATGGAGTTCTGACTCCTTGCATCACGCAGCCACCCAGCAGGGCCTGGAGCCTTCCTGACGTTTGGGATCTGACTTTGGTTCTTTGCTTGTTTCTTAGTCCTCCTCTTGTCTGGCTGTCAAGTGGTGACAGTGTGGGATTCCTTCAACTCCAGCCCTTTGGGAAAGACAAAATGAGAAGGAGGCTTTGAGATCCTCCAGGGAAGCATCTTGTTTCCACAACACCCCATGCTTTCAGGGTCAGGGTGTTTAGATCCCCCCTTAAAATCTCCTTGCCACCTCCGGCTGTCTTTCCACATCCCACACTTACAGTGCAACCCAAGCGCTCCTCTGGTTTGCCCATGGATCTAAGAAGCAGCCCTTAGCCCCTTGGTGGAATGGGGTAGAACAGAACCAATTTCTGTGACCTTGGTCAAGTTATTTAACCTCTCCCAGTCTCAGTTTACCTATCTATCCAACAGGAATATAAATCAGTAAGGCATTAACTAAAGTAATTCTTTAAATGGGCTTAAATACAGTCGTGGGTATAAACATGGAACATGTAGTAGATGCTCAGGCAGTGGTGTTGAGATCAGGGACACAGCTGTCATAAGCATCCTCGGACGATTCCGGACCCTGAGACAGGAGTCAGGAAACTCTGTCAACCACTGTGTTCTGGCTTCATAGGCTTGAGGGGCTGGGGCTGGGATGCAGTAGGCACAGGAGGAAAAAACTCTACTCGGGGAAGGGCAGAGACCTCCAGTCATATGAAATGTAGCAGAAGGAGTACTTATTTGGCCCCAGATAAGAGCTCATTTCCAAGAATTTGTAGCAAAGGCAATTAATCACAAGAGCCTGAAAAATGCACAGCTTCAAAGAGCATCTTTTGGATGAGAATATCAACTGGCTGAGCCATTTAGAAGAATCTTCTTATCAAAGCCATTGATGTATGGATAGAGTGAGACAGACCCAAAGGACAGACAGACACAGGCTGAAGTTGTTGTGAGCCCCTAGAAAGGACAGTTAGAGTTGTCCCAAGGGTCGGCAGCTCTGGCCCAGCACCTCGCATTCACAGCCACCAACGCGTCGTGTTGCATGTGCCCTGAGACAGGCCTTTGTTCCCGCGCGCACGGCTGCCTGCTGGGGCTGGCACTGGGGTGGCAAGTTACGGTCCGAGGGGAGAGCATGCCCTTCGCCTGCGTCCCTCCACACCACCCTCCAGAAGGATTTCCGGTCCCGGTGTCTTTCTGGTGAGGACCCCTTGGTGTGGAGTCCCCAGCCAGGCTTCCCTCGGAGCCGGGAACCGGCTGCGAGCTTCACGATTTCCCACAGGGGTCAAGTAGCCGAAAGGTCTCTCTCAAGATGGGCCAAATCTTCAAAAGCATTGTGCATAGAAGTTTACGTTCCGTCCCTCACCCCAGAGCTGTGGCACCCTAGGTTTGTGGTCAGGACAAGAAAGGGAGCCCCCGAGAGTGGTCCCCTCACCTGGGCTCACGGTCTCCTCCTTGCTTACTCCCCTTTATCCTCCCTATCCTGTTTCTTCTCCTCCTCCCCCTCAGCTGTCTCTTCTCTGCAGGTAACTAGGATCAAGTCTCTCTCAACTTAAAAATCATAAAAAACAACCCTTGGGGCTGTCTGACCTTCTGTTTGCTCTCCCCTGCTCCTCCCTGCTGACTCCCTTCCCTCTCCACTCTCCCTTTTACAAATACTCACTGAGGACCCGCCGTGCGCCAGGAGCTATTCTAGGCTCTGGGAAGACACAGCAGTGAACAAGCCAGACAAAAATGCCTACCCTCATGGAGCTGCCCTTCCACTGGGGATAGATGGATAATAAGCAGATGAATAGGCAGGGTCTTACGGGCCACAAAGAAAAATAGGGGCAGGATCCAGTCCAGGAGCATGACTGAGGTGGGCATGGCTTGGTTTCTGTCACATGTTTGGGGAAGCAGGTGGCCTTTGAAGAGACCTGAATGAAAAGCATAGCTGGAACAATAAAAGACAGTCGTCAGGGAGGTGTACAAGGGAGGGCGACCTGGAGAGTGTAGTTCAAAGGCCCTGGGGCAGGGAGGCTCTGGCAGGCTGAGGAATAGTGAGGAGGTGAATGTGCCCGGAGGTGAGCAGGAGGGCCTGGGCCTGAGAGGACGTGGGCGCAAGATCACAGGTAGATTTTCCATCCTCGGTGTCAGGAGGACTCACTGGGCTTGACTGGAGGTGTGTGCCACGGTCAGGCTTTTCTTTTCACCGTTCATTTGTCTCATGCAGCATGCATAAATATTGGTTGAGGGAAGAAGTCACACACACAGTCATTGGGCACTTCCTCTGTGGGGGCATTTGATGGCAGGGAGGAGAGGCGAGGCCTTGACCTTCCAGACTCTGCAGTCTGGCCCTGTCGCCCACCCTGGGCTGCTCCCACCTTTACCACAGGCCTGTCTCCCAGGCACCAGCGCGGCCCCGCACCCATCCAGCTCCCCCTGGCTCGCCCAGGGCTTGATGGAAGTCACACGTGTGGGCTCTGAAGCCAGCTTGCCTGGGCTGCGAACCCGGTGCTGCTGCTTACTAGCTGTGCTAGTTGGGAAAACTCCTCCCCCTCTCTCAGCCTCAGTTTCCCCCTACTGAAAACGAAGGTGATTATAGAAGCTTCCTTTTTAGGGTCTGGAGAGAATGAAATGACTAGTCCACAGGGGGTGTGGACAGAGTCTGACACATAGTAGGCTTCAGTCACTTCGCATTTTATGAGGCCCCCCTGCGCCCTCCAGGGATTTTGTTCACTCCATCTTGCAGACGAGGCAGCCACAGCCCAAGTGGAAGCCAGAGGCCCAGAGGGCTCCCGCAGGGGGTTATTTTATCTAGATGCCCTCCCCCCCTTTCTCCCTGGCCAATTCCTCCTCTCAGCTGAAATGCCACCCCCTCAGAACAGCCTTTCCTGACCGGCCACCCAGTTCCTAGCCGCTCCCCCCGCCCCCGTCTCTCTCGCTGTGCCGAACACACACATGGTCACAGAACTGTGTCACCGTGTCTTCTGCGCCCGACTGGCAGCTCGGCGTGGGCCGGGGGCTGGGGGTGGTCGCGGAGGCAGGGGCCAGGCGCACCGGAGGCCTTCAGGGACTATTCGGGAATGAATGGATGAGCAAACGAATGAGCGATCAGAATTGGAATTCCAGAATATGGGCCGCCCTGGGAGTGCTGCATCTGGGTGGGTTCCAGCGGGAGGTAGCGGGGGGCCTTCCCTGCAGGCCACTCGGGGCCCTCCTGGGTTCTGGCGCCCGCCACCCCCGCTGTCCTGCGGAAACCTTGCTCTGGTGACGCAGACGTGACTGCCCCGGGTGGCTTCACAGCATGATTCGTGGCTCCTGGGGTTCTGGGGACCGCGTGGCTCTGCAGCTGTGGGGGGCCGTCCCCCTG